TACCTCTTCTTGTGATCAAATCTTCAATCAAGAACATAGCATAACCTACAAACTCAAATGGGTTCTTAATTGGTTTCTGAAAAAGAAAGAAAACCCTGTAAATTTTCCATATCTAAGTATGATGCAGATCTGAGTTTAAAGAAAACCCCACTCCTACACAGTATCAAACCTCTTCTACTAATCTTCAAATCGGAAACCAAATATTGTTTCCATAATCTTGAAATAAACGCCTCCATTTTCTCATTCAACTCCTCATTCGATAACATCGCTGCCGACATGATCGATAAGGGCATTTGAGGGGGAGATCGAGGGGAGTGTCGATGTAGATGGTGGTCAGTAGCGGGGATGGGGTCGAACAAGATGACCTGAGGTCATCACTTGCCGGAGGAGGCCACCGGATTTTGGTCCCTGTATGTTCGTGTGTGTGTGTATGTGATAAAAAAATTGATTTAAAATTAAAGTAAATTTGAATATTAAACTAATTAAAGTAAATAGAATAATCATCCCAAATTACAAATTTATCCTTCTATTTTACTTTAAGAAAAATATTAATTATCTTAAATGATTAGCTCATGTTGGATCTTACAGTTATCACAAATTAATTAGTTCTCATTTGATTAGATCATATATATATATATATATATATATATATGTTTGGCTTTCGATTAGAAGAATAGTTAAGGTGAGAAGCGTAAGAAGGGAAATCCATTCCTGGATGCACATTAGGATGTGATGTACCAAGATGAATCGGGTCAATCCCCATATCAAACATGATACATAGGTGGGTTTGAGATTAAAAATGATCAAATATTCAAATTCTTTTTTATACTTCTCACTTTGACTCTTCTTCTCATACACAATTTTTCATATATATAATATATATATATATATATATATATATATATGAGTTGGTTCAAATGTTAACCAAGATTATTGTGTTAACTTTGTTAACCAATCTTGGCCATTGATCTTACAATAAACGGTTATGATTAATCATGATAAAAAATTAATTTTTTATATTTACAATTTCATATGTGAACAAAGGTGAAAAGGGTATTTAAGTAATTTATTTTTTTATATAACTCCCATATCATTAATTGGGAGTTATCAAGATCTCATTATTTTTGTTAATATAAGAACCATATAAACATCTCTCTCTCTCTCTCTCTCTCTATATATATATATATATAGAGAGAGAGAGAGAGAGGAGTGATCAAATAAAAACCGCTCTCATTTGTGTAAACCGTGCAAACCACCTTCATTCGTCGATTTTATTGTTTAATCTTATGAAATTTTTTCATGAAATTGTTTAATCTTGTGAAATTGTTTCATATAATACTTTTTTTGATCAGGTTGTTTCATATATGGTTGTGAAATTGTTTCATATAATACTTAATGAAACTGTTTCATGTATTTCTCTAAAATTAATGAAACTGTTTCATGTATTTCTCTAAAAATTAAAATAATGAAGATGATAATATCTATGATTAAC